CCCTTTGCAAAACAATACAGTGTTTAATTTACAACAGGCTATCATGATATTTCCAAGAGCATCGAAGAATCTCATGCAGTGGGAACCAACCTCCTCCAGGATCATGACAGCAAGATTCAAATCAAAAGGAAGGAAAGTTACAATTATATAAAGCACTGAAAACAGATACAGAGACATCAGCAGACATACTCACACCATTATTGCAAAAGGTTTTGAAGGAATGAAGGGAAGAATGGCTACCTTGTCGAACTCCCAAACAAGGGCTACCTAAGTCTTTGCAAGAACTGACGTGGAATCATGCTCCTATTCACCCTCAAGCAAACTATTAATCCGCATCAACATGGAGAGACTAAAATATACTCTAGATTCATAATTACGACCGGGACAGGCCTGCTGGATTCAGGAAAAACAAATCATGTGTGGATCAAATTGCACAGCTAACCTACGCATTATCGTAGAACAGAACATAAAATAGCTGAATGAAAACTCTTTAACTCAACTTAGTCGACTTTGAAAGAGCCATAGACAGCATCGACTGAGAAGTAATTTGGCAGGCAGCTGCTTCAGCACTACGGTTTCAGTGATACAAACTTTTGTCAACCTCATTTAACAGCTATATGAAGACGCCATATGCCAAGTAATGCACAGTGGAAAGCTCAGTGATGCCTTCGAAGTGAAGACAAGGCTGCCGCGCACTATCATCGATCATCTTCTTGAGTGTCGTCTGCTGGACTGAAATGGACTGGATGATGCAACAAACTATGAGCAGCAAGAACAGGGGTATACTCTGTTTGACCGACGAAAAGACCCTACTAAATTTGGATTTCGCTGATGATCTATGTCTAATGTCTTGTCGTACAAACTCGAAGATATACAGGCGAAAACCAACAAGTTGGTAGAAGAGGTGAGACGCGGCAGCGAAGACGAAACTTCCTCCAGGTTAAGGTAGAGAAGACAGAGATGATGACGATGCCCAGCCAACAACAACAACAAGCTACAATCACCATGAACGGGAACAACTGAAAGGAAGTTGTCTCTTTCCCCTACCTACGTAGATAGCATCGTCTCAACTACAGGTGGCGGCACAGATGAGGTTATCAAAGCGAGCATTAGAAAGACAGCAGGACAGGCCCTCATCAATCTGAAATAATCAGTGTCGAGATCTACTGTACTGCGCTGCACAGCACAACACAACACAACACAGCAATCAGCATAAAGAATAAACAAGATCTGAATTTTCAACACCATTTCAGTCAAGTCACTCAGTGCTTATATCTGAGGGTTCACAGACTTGGTACCTTACGAAGAGCATTTCCAACAAAATAAACACATTCATCAACAGCTACCGTCTACCTCTACGCTCACTCCATACTGAAGATGGAGATCGGATGACAAGAATAGTGAGAATAAGCAACAAGGAACTCACCATGGCCAGCCACGATCCAACCAACGAAGTAACAACCTATCACCCAACAAATATGCAGAGGGAGAAAGTGGAGATGGATTGTATTGAGCATACATTGAGAAGACCATTTGGGGAGATGACGTGCCTGGTCAGGTCGTCGAGTGGAAATGGGAAATGGGAAATGACGAGTTGGGCGTCCTTGGGTGACATGTAGGAGATGTTGTGAGGAGGAAATGAGAGCTTCTGTATAGTGGTGGAGCCAGGTTGAAAAGACTGTAGAGAAGAGACTGAAATTGTGAGGTGCTACTGAAGCCGTATGTTCCACTAGGAACCCAAAGGACAAATATTAATAGTAAAATTGTTTTCTATCCAGAACTCATCAAGTGGATTTACGTACAACCCAATGAGACCAAAGTCTTATAGTTATGGCTTCAAACAGCTGAACAGTATCTTTCAGGCTACTGAGTCACAATACCCACCTCTTGTTGACCACAGATTATTCTATTACTGACATTTTAATCAACATTTGACTATTTCCATTCTTATATGAGAATATTTTCTGTATACAGTCTCTTAAAGTCATCATATTATTTACTCAAATATGAGATAAAACCCTCAAGGTTTTCGGAAGTTTTGATAACCTCAAAAAACTCATAATGTCATTATTCACCTTGACCTAAAAATATGTAACAATTTTATTAAAGATAACTATTGTAATATATTATGAACACAAAGATCTTATTCTACGGTTCAATAAAGAATTCACATAGTTCCAAATTATTGCATACAAGGGGATGTATACCTATCGATTGTCATTACTGAAATCAACTTGGTGACTAGTAGTGGAATTCAGGACACACGTTTCATCCTAATGAAAACTAATCTCAGTTAGATATGTCTACACCCCAGTGAGAGATAATATTCTCTTCAAGATTGTTAGTCCAAATTATCTTCCAAGTGAAGATATACCTGTGAGTCCCATCTTACATGAGATTATAAAGGATGTAGTTGAACAATTGGAAACAAAAATGAATGAAGTGAATAGAGTCGACTTCTTCTAAGCTTTCGTTTTTCAAAGAAAGTGGGTAGCTTATGGTAGTTCACTTGGTTATGGCTGGCAGAGGAATCTAGGATGCGTGTTTCGTCCTATTTGGGACTCTTCAGCTAGATGTACCTACTTCCCAGTGAGTGATGTTGTTCTCACCGGTAATCGGACTCGGGAGCGACTGCTTCAAACGCCAGTGCGTTATCCACTACACCACCGAGCCACGATAGCCACTTGTTGTGCGACGGGTATAGTTTCAGTATAATTGTTTTCATATCATACCGTCGTTGATCGGACCGAATTGATTGGTCTCTATTGGCATATGGGCTCCTTCGCGGATGCCTCGATGTTGCCTGACTCCTAATTATGTTAATGATAGACAGCTGACGAGTCCCAAACAGGACGAAATGCGCATCCTGGATTCCACTGCCAGCCACGATCCTTCGTTAACATAATTAGAAGGCAGGCAATATCAAGGCATCCGCACAGGAGCCCATATGCCGATAGAGACCAATCAATTCGGTCCGATCAGCGACGGCATGATATGAAAATAATTATACTAAGGGTAGAATTTAGTTGGAAGAAAGTTAGGTGTGGCTAGTTCATGAAATCTCTGGTTGTTTTTTCAAGGAGTTCAATGAGGTGTAAGCTATCTGATGATGATAAAAACTATAGTCGGGGGGGGGGGTGAGGCTTGAACTCATGGTCTGCTAGGTTGAGGTCCAATTCTTTTAATCAATCAGCTACAGCTCCTTGATCTAGGCTGTTGAAACTCGTCACCAAGGCGAATTTGTAACCTCTACGGGATTCATGTCCTACCTGAAATTCAAACTCGTGTAACCTAGTGCTGCAATCATAGACGTTACCAGTGAGCCAACCGGTCCGTAAAGATAGTCACTTATGCTTGTCCTAAGAACAACTTGACCCCAGCAGACGTTAGATATCCTACCTACCTCCTTTAGCCACAAGGCTTAGACCTGATCAGAGTAGGCACTAAGATAAGCGACGTCAAAGTGTGGTGTGCTATATTTCGATGCTAGATGGTAAGGATCAGTCGGCAGGAAACGTCAGATCTGGGCTTCGTGCTTATCGGCACTCATCAGTAGGCCGTATCTGCAGTTATCAGTAAATTGATGTTCTTTCAGTGCCCGACAGGTGTGTTTACATCGTCGACTCTTAAAAGGGGTAAGTTGTGGCTTGGACGCTCTATTGATTAGGTTCCTGACACAAACACTGAGTGACATAGGATCGAATTATCAAGAGCATGCCGAAGTTCTCATGGCTACATACACACCTTACCGATGAGTGCCGAGAACCATTATTATTATTATTACTAGTCCCTTGAGTTCCTGAGAGAACACACAGCTTCAGTAACACGTCTCCATTACACTCTCTTCTCTGCAATCTTTTCAACCTGTCACCACGACTACCCACAACCTCTCATTTCTTCCTCACACAATCTCCTCCATGTCACCCTACTCTCGCACATCCAACTCGTCGTTAACCATTCGGGTTACACTCCAGTATTTGGTCTGGCTTGTGATATCCTCCGTCGGCCTTCTCAGTGTATAACGAATCCATCTCCACTTTCTCCCTCTGCATATTTGTTGGACCACAGGTTGTTACTTCGTTGGTTCGTTACCCGTTACCCAGCCAGAGTGAGTTCCTTGTTGCTTATTCTCATTATTCTGGTCATCTGATCTCCATACTCAGTGTGCAGTGAGCGTAGACGGCAGTTGTTGATGAATGTCTGTAGTTTGTTGGAAATCGCCTTCGTAACTCGCCAAGTCTCCCAACCATCATAAAGAAGCACTGATGTTAGTGTTGAAAATCCGGATCTTGTTCACGCTTTGTGCTGAGTGCAGTGCACAAGATCTCCACATTAGTTTCAATTGAATGAACGCCTGTCTTGCTTTTCCGATCCTGGTTTTTACATCATCGTCTATGCCTGTGCTGCCTGTAGTTGAAACGATGCTGTCCAGCCAGGTAGGTGAAAGAGACTACTTCCTTTAAGTTTCTCCCCTTCATGGTGATTTGTGTTTGTTGTTATTGTTCGTGGTGGTTGGGTATCTTCATCACCTCTGTCTTCTCTACGTTCACTTGAAGTCCCATCTTCGCTGCTTTGCCTCTTCTGTCAACATGTTAGTTTTTGGTTGTACATCTTCGAGTTTGTGTGACATTACACACAAGTCATCGGTGAAATCCAAATCTTCTAGGATTTTTTCCTTGGTCCAGCGTATCCCCCCTCTGCACTCTCCTCATCAATTGAACATTTAACATCCAAGTGAACTGGTAATAACTAAGTGTTTAAATTGACTCAGTTTCTAATATTCTTAGTATAGCCTTGATTAAATAGAGGCTTATGTATTTAGTATCAGTAATGTGTAGAAGACTGTGAAATTTTATAAACAATCCTATAATATTGCTCAAAATGAAATAGATGAAGTAAAGTTAGGATGTCTTATAACTAAATGGTTAAGAATTTTATGCCAAAATCAGTGAAAGTGATTGTTATAATGAATAAAAAAAGTAATCGATAAAAATACTTACCAAGATCTACTAAACCGAAAAGTTTATCTTTTTTACGCTTCTTTTTACCACTTTCTGATTGACTTGTTTTTATAGATTTTGATTGTTGTGGTCTATCAGAGATTTCTTTAGATGATAATAATGATGATGGAGGTGGTGGACGTTTCGGTGTATTTCCTTCAGCTGGCAGACAAGGAATAGAATGAGATGAAGGTGGTGGTGGTCTAGATGGTGGAGTTAAACTATGATCATCACTTATCTTCATAAGACTTTCAGTTGATGCACATGTAATGATAATTGAAGGTGGAGTCAAATAATTATCAACATTATTATTAGTAGTATTTATATTGTCCGAGTTTGAAGTAGATGTAATTGATTCAATGAAAGAAAATGGATCTTGACTTGAAGTATTGTCTACTTTATACTGATCAATAGTTTCATGTTCATTATTATCAATTATCATAACAGATGATTCCTGATTTTTTTGATAAAAATCATCTTTATATTGATCAGAATGATTTATATCCCATTGTGTAATCTTATCATCATCTGAATGTTGTTGAATGTTGTTGTTGAATGTTGTATCCATTGAACTTTGAATACTTTGTGTACTTTCACTATCTTGTTCTATTGTATTGTTATACTGTTCAATTTCACTAATATTACATGATTGATATTTAGGTGTTTCATTGGAAAATATATAATTATCATCAATATTATCATAATCAATTTGTTCAATCACAGGATAATCAATTTCATATTGAACTGATAACTTTTTTACACTCTGGTCATCATCATCATCATGAACACTATAATGTTTATAGTTAATATTCTCAGACTCTGTACTATCTTCATCATCTATATCTTGATTGAAATCTACACTGTCTTGTTCATTGAATGTCAGTGACTTTTTCTCTACATCATCGTTATCATTACCAGATAATTCATCATTTGATTGAACATTAATATCATTAATTGATTGAGAATATTTACCGGTTGGTGTATATGATTCATCTTTATCTATTGTAGAAGAAGATGTTACTTTTGTTTCTTTGAATAATTGATGAAATTTATGCTGATGATCAATTTCTACATCTGATATATCTGTTAGTTCAAAACAATCATCTTGAGCTAAAGGTGCTGGAGATTTACATTGTTCTGATTGAGATGATTGACTATCAAACTTTGAATTATTCATAGTTATGTTAGAAATATCAATAACATCAATAGTTACATTGTTAGTTTCTGGTGTAATCGGTGGAACAGATATTGCTCTAATTGATTGTTGTTGTATTTTTCGTTTAGGACTACGATTACGTCTAAGACTAGCAATTACTTGAGTTCGAATAGATGATGAAGGTGATTTTATATCTTGTTCATATGATATCTTTTTTGAAGGTTTTCGATAAGATTTAACAACTATAGAACTTTGAAATTCTTCATCATTATCATTATAACTTAATGATCTTTGATCAACTGATTCACTGCGTTGTTTCGATTTTGTTTTAGAACTTCGACGATTTATAAATGCAATTGGATTAAAACGAAAACTCATCATTCAAACATAGATAGTAGTCCAAATAATGATAATATAACACAAATTATTCTTGTGAATTATTATTCATTGGACAAATATACACGTGAACAGTAAAGCCATTCAATATCTCATGAAATACCATTTATTAGTAGGATAGATTCATGCGTTATCATCCAGAATTATAATTCATTGGCCTGTTTGCCCATCTTATACATGTCTATGAGATGAGGATGCCCATAGTTATCAAGTTGGTTAAGGCATTTGGATTAGGAAAGACACATAGAGTAAATTCCTCACCTTGTTCTACAGTCTCAGATAGATGAGATGAAAGACTGACATACATATACAGAATAATCAATTGAGATAATATAAAAAGTAGAAAGACTCATATTTCAATTTCACCCACGCAATTTTTTCAAGGTTAAATTGGTATTAACGGAACAGGGAATTATGATTTCTGACCTAGTTTGATTTAAAGTATCTGTTGTATAAAAGTAATAATGATAGTAGACGCATAAGATAGATACTTATTGAAAAAAAATTCATCAGTTCGACTATAATTCAGCATGTTTAAGTATCAACTTTGTCATAATTTACTTGGCTGTGATTATCAGCAGGAGATCGTGCGAGGAGGAAATGAGAGCTTCTTGGCTGTCGTGGAACCAGGTTCAAAAGATCTCAGAGAATAGAGGTCACTGGAGACGTGCTACTGAAGCCCTATGTTCCACTAGGAACCCAAGGGACTAATAATAATAATAATAAATAATCAGCAGTGGAATTCACGATATGCCTGGAATTGATCAACCTTTGTTAGGATACGGATCCATGTTTAGATGCTTTGATATCGCCTGAATTACAACAGGTGGCTATCGTCTTTCATGGACCTAGCAGATGGCACTTTGTGTAAGAGGTTTGAGTCTCAGCTGGGACAACATAGTTGACTCAGCTCGCGGTACCATCCAGCTGACGAATCACGAATTACACGAAACGTGCATCCTGGATTCTTTTGCTAGCCACAACCAAGTAAATTATTACATTATTCATCCAGTTTCTGCATCATCTCGAAACTTTATGTTCTTAACCGAAATAACGCCTCTGTATGCTCAATCTATAAGCTCTGGAGAATAGCCCGAATCTACTCAAATGATAATTGTGAACAAAGTTAAAATGAAGATATTTGCAAGGCAGAAAATGTGCACACTCTATTCCACGACATCTCATCAGCTGCAAACAACCTAAAGTTATGAAATTATTATCATTATTTTTCCCTTGCGTTCGTAGTGGAACATACGGCTTCAGAAGAACATCGCCATTTCACTCTCTTCTCAGCAGTCTTTTCAACTTGACTCCACTACTGCCCACAAGCTCTCATTTCTTCCTCACATGGTATCGTCAATGTCACCCTCGTCTCGGACACCCAACTCGTCGTTTCCCATCTGGGTTCCACTAGAGGGTGTGGCCTGTCGCATGATGTCCCCAATCGGTCTTCTCAGTGTATAACGAATCCATCTCCACTTTTTCGCTCTGCATATTTATTGAGCGATAGGTTCTTAGTTAATTGGATCATGGCCAGCCAGAATGAGTGCCTTGTTGCTTATTCTTATTATTCTGGTCATCCGATCTCCATCTTCAGTATCGAGTGAGCGTAGGGGGCCGTACGAAACTTATCATACTGAACAACAAAATACTGAAGAGACTGTAAGTGTTTGCAGTGGTTTAATAATCACTTGGCGGTGAAACCAATTTGTTAGCACAGGACGTCATTTTCAATGCTCCTCTTTTCTATTCACGTTAACAACTTGTCACTTTTCAATTCAAAGAGGGTGGAAACAAGTTTCTTTTTAACAATTTCAGACTTAGATTTCTCTTTCTTCGAATTTTCATAATTTATGATAAATTCCCTTATGCTAACCCACTTTTCTTTACACTTTCTCTAGCTATAGTGATAATAGCTAGCAGTGGAATCCAAGATGCACATTTCGTTCCATTTGCAACTCGTCAGATGGACACACCTGCGTCCCAGTGGGTGGTGTTGTTCCCACAGGGATTCGAACTCGGGAGCGATCGCTCCAAACGTTCACAGCGTTATCCACTACACTACCGAGCCACCTCCTGCCCGACGGATATACTTTTAGTATAATTGCTTGTATTATACCGTGGTTGATTGGACCGAGTTGGTCAGTCTCTATTAGCATACCGGTTGTTGTGCGGATGCCTCGATGTTACCTGTACTCTAATTATAGTAATGATTGGATAACGCTCTGGCATTAGAAGCGATCGGTCCTGAGTCCGAATCCCGGTGGGAACAATATCACTCACTGGGAGGCAGGTAAATCCAGCTGACGAGTCCCGAATAGAACGGAATGCGTATCCTGGATTCCACTGCTAGCCACTATCCATCATTACTATAATTAATATACAGGTAATATAGAGGCATCCGTACAGAAGCCCATATGCCAGTAGAGACTGATCAATTCGGTCCAATCATCGACGGCATAATGCACGCAATTATACTTTTTTTCTAATTATCGTTAATTCTTACTCAAGTTTATCTCCTGAATATAAGGCCGCTTCATCAGCTGAAAAATATCTTGACCAGGCTCAGATAGTAACTGATGGGATCAAAAATATAATATTTCATATACTGAACAATTTATATGCTTTTTCTGTAGACAGTTTTATCCACTGTAACATCCAGGCATTACTGCGCAACGGTCTGAGTTGACGCCACATCTCATATCAGTACATCAAGTAAAAAGGAAGTGAGGCACAAGATGAAGATGAGAAAGTTCAGTCAAAAGAAATACACAGTAGAAAAAGAGAGAAAGGAAAAATGAGAAAATTATGAAATTTGGTATAGTGTCGTTAAGATGAGGATAAAGTGCGTATACATCTACACCACTGACATCGGTTCTGAGTCATATCACCTACAGTTAGTCTCCAACCACTGATTCCTCTTGTCTCGCGGACCCCAACCACCTAGTCTGCATCTCCCCACATGGGTCAAACCAACAGTCACAGACTTCATGCACTGGTGCTGTTTCAGTCTGGCCACCTCGGGCCTCTTCCAGCCTACAACTACTTCAGCCAACATTTTGTGACGAGGCAATCGGTGACTAGGCATACGTAGCACATGTCCGAACCATCTTAATGGATGAAGGTTCACAACCGTGTCAACTGATCTACCTCTCCTGCCTAAAACTATACACCTGACTTGTGCTTTAATCACATGGTGACACCATAGAATACGATCACGGTGGTCAAACACCTGAAGCCTCTTCATGTCTTCCACCTTCAATGACCATGTTTCATAGCCATACAGTAGAACAGAGTGGACTGCTGTGGTCAGTACATGCGACTTCAGATTGTAAACGTTTAATCACTAGGTTTGGTGTTATTATCAATGCTTACTTCAGAGAACATTTAGCAAGTATCCTCCTAAGCTACAAATACTCATGTGTTAAACTGGGGCAAACCTATTTTAATTGTCTAATACATAATGCTGTTACATTTTGTTCCACATGTAATGAATAAACTGAAATAAAATTACACTCTATCAAATGAAACAAGACGCATTCAGCAACCTTGAGCACTTAATTGGGGTAGTAGCGACGGGCGGTGTGTACAAAGGGCAGGGACGTAATCAGCGCAGGCTTATGACTTGCACTTACCAGGAATTCCTCGTTCACGCAGAATAATTGCAGGCCCCGATCCCAGTCACGACGGTGATGAAACAGTCTGCCCAACCCTTTCGGGCCAGATTTCCAGACTCGCTGGCACCGTCATTGGAGCGCACGTGTGGCCCTGGACATCTAAGGACATCACAGGCCTGTTATTGGTCAATTTCGAGCGATTTAAGTGTGCCACTTGTCCCTCTAAGAAGTAAAAACTGGCACCGTACCCGCCGGAAAACGATCACACCAATTCATAAAGAAGCAGTAGAAGCCGCACCCTAAACGAGCACAGAGGACCAGTCCACACCTCTTGTATGATGGTCAGTAATACTAATTCGCTGTTCCAGCCTCGTTAGGTCGAGCACAAACAGCAAAGGAAACTTTTATAGGATATAAATTTAGATCAATAAAGAGAGGATAAAACTGTCAGGTAGTTGGTAAACTGAAACGCTTTGTAAGCAGGTTCCAGTTTATCTGTTTATTCTACAAATATACTAGTAAAGATTGTAAAATATTTTCGTGAACTAGCTTGTTCCTAAGATCAAAATAATCCATTCTCGCAAACTTTGTATTTTTCTAAAGTAAATAATGATGATTATAGCAACAATAATGATAATAGACAGACAGATAAACATAATTAACGTAGAACCCCGTAGACCAGTGCATCGGTCGAAGTTGCCACATTTCACACTACTATACAAAGAACAGGTGGATACATAAAGACTGGTTTCGAAGGAGAAAACGTTGCGTGAGAGAATAAGCAATCTGAAGATAACGGCGAGTGCACATATTCAAGCTTTACAAGATGTTAACGAGTGAATATATTTGTTCTAATGTGACTGGTTTCCAGCCATGTCACCAGGAGTCCTATCGTCTTGATGACCCCAAACGAGCAGTCTACATCGCCCGACACAACTTAGACTAACAATCAGTGATTTCATGGACTGGTATCACATCTTGGTCCGGCCACCCTGAAGCCTCTAACAACCTAATTCAATTTCTGGTACTATAACACGTGGAGGTAGGTAGGCAGTGGCTTGGTATGCGCAGTATTTGTCCATCAACTAATGTTCACAACCTCATCAGTCGACTTGCTTAGTACCCTTTACCTAACAGCAACACTACTCACACGGTGCTTTCACCGAACACCAGCAATGCTACGAAGATACCTGTTATCAAAACCCTGTGACCGCTTCCACTTTTAATGTCCATGTCTCACAGCGGTATAACAGCAACGAACGGACTACTGAGCAGTATACTCGTCCTTTGATAGATAGTCGAAAATCCCACCAGTTGGCTCCATAGATGAAGCAAGATGGCAAATCCTAAATGGGCAATCTGTATAGGAGCTGAGATTTCGATAGCAACCAGCCCGTTTTGGCTGATCCATCTCCCTAAGTAAGTGAAGTAGTCGACATATTCTACCAGTTCACTCCCTTTCATTAAACAACAGTAACTCTTTTCTAATGTTCCGTATTCTGAATTATAATCAGGTTAACTTTTACATGTCATCTATAGATAATGTTGAGTGTACAAACTAGCTACCTAATCTACAGGTAAATTGCTCCCAAAAATTAGCACATTTTAACTCAAAATATTCAGCATTTGGAATGCCTTAATGGGACTTTATCTTTTATTACCTCTTAACTTCACTTGTTTAAGTGATATCATATGAGTGTAAGATTATAATTATTTGAAACCTTATTTTCATTTTAGTTGGAATCATAACCTTAACCAATCCCTAACCGTTGATGTTTTATTTTCTTTGCAATCGAACGAACTACTCATGAGTAGTCAAAATGTGAAAATGAAAAAGACATGAAGTATGAGATGGGAATAATTCCACCCGTTTCTTTATTCCCTTTAATCTCACACAGTAATTTGTATATTAACCAGATTTTATTCCTGAAGTCAATATATTAATGACTAAAGGCAACCAAGAAAGACCAATGAAGTTCATTTGTCCGTCTTTATCAAATGCTATTTAACTGCATTTTTTTCAGAAATGTAACCGATATGCTTCGAACTAAAAAACCTAGTAATCTGGTTAGAAAGACTGCGTAAAGATACGAACTAAAAGAGAAATACTGTTCCCCACAAGGTGTAATACTGACTAACAATGATTCTTCCTCCTTGATAGTCGGTAAAATTCAAAGCAAAATCGAAATACTTGAATCAAATCAACCCATACAATATATATTAAGTAAACTTTTCTACTAGTGCTCAAATAAACTTCACCTTAACACCTAGTATGGTCTAAAAAACTAGTCAACATTACCAGCCTTCATATTGTATGTATTCAGTCATAGTATAACGTATCAACTTATAATTGGGTATTGAATTCAAGGTTTTGTTTAAATAGATATGCTGTAGTCAATGAAACATAGCCAACATCACAGTAAAACATTTACTAATTCAATTCCATTATATCTAACAAATCGGTCATTGATATATTTTTTTTTCAAACATATCCTAAGAACACATAAGATTGAAAAGCAATGGTAGATATATTTCACTAACTATATCTTATTATAGCATACTAGTAAGTAAACAATAATCAGTCTAAAAAGAAATGATGATGATATTGAGTACATTATTTTGATTTCTATACAGATAGAAGATCAAATAGGAACAAAACATACAAATAAAAATATTCAAAAGAGTTGAATACATAAAAAAAAATGCATACAACAGACAACAACTGACTGACTAAGCATTGACTGTAACAGGCACTTCCAAAAGATGCACTTTATAAGAAAAAAAAACACGCCATGAACTAGACTACTCCATGTAATATCTTCCAAAGTATATTGAAACAAATGATAATTTATGAAAACCAACAACAACAACAACAACAAAACTGTATAAAAGAGATGGTAATAGAACCTAGGAACCCAAGAAAACGTTTTAAAATTATGAGATAAATCAGATCATTAGGATATATTTTTTTTTAAATGATCGATTAATTGATTGACTGATTGGTTGATTAACTGATTTAGTGATTAACAAATTTTATTGGTTCTCTTAAAGTTCATCATGACTAGTTAGAATTTCTCCAAAATTAGTTGCTTGACTACCAACGAACAAATCATAGCGATTAAGTATTTCACTTTTGCTGAGTTTACCATCCTAAAGAAAATTTTCAATGAAAACAATTGATACAGTTATACTTTATGAAACATAAAGAAATCAAAATATACATGCAAACTATGTGTTTCCAGTAAAGGGAATTCTTTGATATTCAACTGTTTGAAGTTTTCTGCAAAGACTTAAACTAACTAGTTTATTATTTTATTATTATTTGTCCCTTGGGTTCTTAATGGAACATACCGCTTCAGTAGCACGTCTCCAGTGCACTCTGCTCTCCGAAATCTTTTCAACCTGGCTCCACAACTGCCAACAAGCTCTCGTTTCTTCCTCATAAGATCTACTCCATGTCACCCTCATCTCAGACGCCCAATTCGTCGTTTCTTATCTGGGTTCCACTCGAGGGCCTGGCCTTGCGCGTGATGTCCCCAGTCGGCCTTCTCAGTGTATACCCAATCCATCTTCATCTCCACTTTTTCCCTCTGCATATTTGTTGGATGATAGGTTGTTACTTCGTTGGTTCGTTACCCAGCTAGAGTGAGTTACTTGTTGCTTATTCTCATTATTCTGGCCATCTCAGCTTCAGTAACAAGCCAGAGTAGGCAGTTGTTGATGAATGTCTGTAGTTTGTTGGAAATCCCTTTCGTAAGGCGCCAAGTCTCTCAATCATATAAGAGCACTGACTTGACTGAATTAGTGTTGAAAATCCGGGTGTTGTTCACACTTTATGCTGAGGGCAGATCTCCACACTGGTTTCAGGCTAGTGAACGCCTGTCTTACTTTTCCGATCCCAGCTTTGACGTTCTCGTCTGTGCCACCTGTAGTTCAAACATTGCTGCCTAGATAGGTGAAAGAGGCTACTACCTTCAAGTTTCTCCCGTTCATATTGATTAACTAACTAGTAGTCATCCTTATTGACAGGAGAAACAGTCTATTTTAAATTAGCAGGTATACCATTACAAGACGTCAGTGAAAACTTCAACAAAGTGAAGTCCTAAGTAAACCGGTAAATACTCTCAAACAATGAGATCATATGTAAGTAAACGTTATACACTACCAATAGAAAATTAATTGACAAGAGGTATACGAATCTCTTACCTGATCAGCATCTGATTCAGAGAACAAATGAGTTACTTCTGCTTGAATATGATTAAAATCTTCAGGTACAATCCATTTTCCAACTTCTTCAGCATCTAGCTTACCATCACCGTTAAGATCTCGCCTCTTGGAAAATTCCTCTCTTTCCGTTTTAACCCATTCAGGTTCTGGTTCATCCGGTGTATTCGGAGTCCACAGATCTCCTGTAGACAAAATCCAAACATATATGATAAACAGTAAACTACACTTAAAGCCTGGTAACATTAAAAATGATTACGTGCTTGCATGAAATAACTTCAACTGCACAATATCTTTAAACTAACTGAAATGGATATGTACTTGGTAAAGTTTACCGAACTAGAAAACATAACAGCATGATTCTCCACTCCAATTGAAGAGACAGAAGACAGACACGACGGAAAGAATGTTTATTATCAACCATTGGAACGGTAGTCGTTACATATGGTATACCTTGCACTAAACCCATCATTTGCAAAATGTGTTTCGTTTCCTCTTCTGTTTGTCTTGATATTTGGTCTTCATACATTCTTATCAGCAGCACCCACTGTAATATGCCTACGTTATCCCTTGCGTTACTCTTGGCAGAATCCTTGCCCATTGCTGGTAATTCCCTATGATTTCTGCCACCTCGACATATACTACTTATATCCATTCTTATCAGCAACGCCCACTGCACAATATCTTCACTCAATATGAATTTATCGTTTTTAAAAACTATGACCCTTCTTTTCACTACTTTTCGAAATTTCTCCCGTGACTGCGGAGAATTTACTTCCGACTTGAGTCAACAATTAAAAAAAAACAAAATCCCAAAGAATCCTACTGCAAAGTGTCTAGCCGATGTCTTCGATCAGTTACACTAGTTCACTGTACGACAACACATTGAAATACATTTGGAATGTTACGGTGAGAAAAACACAGCAAACTGAAATCTCGCAGATATTTTAAACTAAATTGTATCCACTAAGGAATTGAGAGATACTAAATGTTCTTAAAAATCCAGTGCCACTAAAAACTTACTTATGTATTCATCAATATCCACGTAACCATCATGATTTTTATCAACTTCTTCCATGGTTTCCTAAATTCATTGGAGGAAATAAAGAATGTTATAGTTGAATTCAGAGTCTATATATTATACTGTATGATAATGAAATACAACTAATGTCATTTGCAACAAAGAAAACTGTGGCGAATAAGTAGGACTTAGTACTAACATTACAACCTACAAACACCAGAATTTCGATTTGGATAACTAACAAAGCTATCGAGTTGAACGGTGATGTGTTGGAATTGCTTTGATCTGTTTGTGGCAGCATTTTCTACGAAGAAAGCCATCACCAAAAGTTTTTAAGAAATGCAAACCCAATACTTTAGCTATTTACCACAAATCATTGAGCAGGCAATCTCTAAGACAGTAAGTACCATTAATCAAAATTAGTATCCGGTATCCATTAACACTTTTATATTTCTAGCTTTAGCGAACTTCCTAGTGAATCAGGACTGAGGATGACATTCAGATTGATGTGAATAGTACAGCCAAAGAAATCCTAAGCTCGGAGCATTAGAACTAACGGGACATCAAACAACCATAGTTCACGGTTATTCAGTGGTTATAAATTAAGTATACCTATTTGGTATAAGCCATTACTAACCTCAACGATGACACCTCGCATCTTTGGTTCATGCTCCGGATGAAGGAATGCAAGGAACTCTTCTTTTGAAAGTTTTCCATCTCCATCTGCATCAGCATTCTTCCAGCGTCTCTCATCTCTCTGCAAAACTGTTTTCTTTGTCTCTTCATCTTCATCTGAAATATATGTTTTACGATGAGGTTCAAAAAAAATCAACATGTTGAAAGATATTGAATTATACAAAAAAAAAGTAGGTGTAACCAAGATATAACTTACCCTCAAGTTCACCATCTTCTCCAACTAACTCACTGACATGCTTTTCCCATGGCATCTTGTCACCATCTGATAATCCATATTCTTTCCATGTACGGTCAACATCATCAAGAAGCATTCTTTTAGATACTTTGGAAATCCAAGCAGCCATTTCTTCTGTAGTGATTTGACCATCACCATTTTGATCGATTTTGTCAACAATTTCACTGGACAAGCAAACAGCAGAGTATTAAGCAACTGTGGCAACATTATAGCACTTAAAAACGAGCACCTATCCATCAAACCGATGTCCTACAAATGATGTAATAAGTCAACAGAGTTTGATTGCTTTTCTGCAAGTTAATCAGTAGTCTCATAGGTGTGTTGCCCTAACTGGTACGTTCTCAAAATAGAACAGATGTATACAAAATTTTGAACCGATTGAAAGCAGATAACACTGTACAAACAGCCAAACCTAGCTCATTTCGATGTCTTGTGTCGTCATACATTCGAGAACAATATGCTTTCACAAATCGACTCCCAAATGGTGGGAAGCTTTTCAGAAGTAGACAATAGTGTCCAACTAAAAAATGACCGTATCAGAACATGTGGCATAAAACTGAAAAAGAGACGCATACAAGCATAAAAACCTCACTTTTGTAAATATCTTTAAATCATGAAAAATTCGATAATTCTACATACCCCAGTTTTTCTTTGCTTTCTTCTGGTGTCAAGTCATCAAATCTTTTAGCTTCATCCTTGCCCAAAAAAGCCTCGTGGTCATAAATTGAACTGTGCTCATCGTCGTGTAAATGTGGTGAGTCACTCAGGTCCTGGAAATGAAAGCTTAAATGATTTGAAAGCAGTACCTTATCTAATATTCGAGGCTTATATTTCGATTCAGCGAACTGATATCTTAATACCACACAAAGTGATAAAGTAAAGTAAATATGTAATAGCCCCATAACACAAACCAGACAAGATACGTTGGCAGCCAAACTGAAGTAGCGCAACAGGACGAATACGTAGACGACACGAATGGTGTATTTATAATTTAAATGCAGCATTAAATGTCCAAGTGATTTGATTGATAATTAATCCTTTCCACCTTTTCTAGTACAATAATTTTTTGTGAGCTAATGTAAAACAACTGATTTCTTCTAGCTTGCTTCTATGTCTTGCAGAAGAGATCCAGGTCCTCGGTGGATTCCAATGAAGTATGCCTACCTACTCACCTGTTGTAACTGTAATTAGCCCAGCGGGTGTTTGGGTTTCAAATGAAATTACAGGGATCTTACCGTCCTTCTAGAATCTGTGGTGCAGATGGGTTTCTTACGTATCGTGCCACCAGACGGTTGTTCAGACTGGTTGTAGTAAGAGGGAAAAGATGTTCGGAGTGGTCAAGGGGGGAGGAAGTGTGAATAAGAAAAAAACATATATCCCGAAAGAAAGTGGAAAGCAAAGGAATAGAAAATCTGGATAGATCCGTGGGAGATAAATGATAGGGTGGTGGTAGAGAACGGAGGGGAAAAGAGGAAAAGAAAAAAGTTTGTGAGAGTTTCCCAAAACACCCCCTGAGTACGTTCGCGGCAGACTATGCTATGATGATATATTGCGGTAGGGCGTTCCGTAAGGCACATACTCTCACCGGGAAAACGTAGGACCTGAATGTGGCATTAGCTCTCTAATATTCTACACTGATAGGTTTCCTCTTGGTGACCGCCGTGTTGCAGGCAAGGCCAATCTTTTTGCCTTTTGTACCTGATCTTGCAGGACATAATAAGGCCATCCTTCTTCTTACGATAACCCAAAGTGAGTAGGTTTGGGTGTTTTTGTCTTTCAGGATATCCCTTCCCTCTTAGCCCTACAACTGATCTGGTTGCAGCTCTTTGTATTTTTTCAAGGAGACGAGAGTCTCTCTGTGAGAAAGAGTTCAGGGGTGATGGCAACGAGCTGTCTACGCGGAAAGGGCAGAGTGACGTTAATCCTGGTTGCCATGTCTGTGTATCTGGTGTTCAAGGGAGTGTGAAGAAGAAAAAAGAAAACATATGCTGAAAAGGAGTGGAACTCAATGAAAGAGGAAATCTGAGTAGATCTATGGAAGCTAATTGATAAGGGAAACCTTGATGAGATCATCGAATCAAAGAGAAGGAAAGAAGTAAATAAGATTATGGGACGGATTTCGGGAACAAAAATAGAATGCTACCCATGGGAGACGGTAGGTGAAGGAGATGTTTAACAGGGGAGTATGGTTGTTTCAGGCTCACTATGATAGTGGTGGCACAAAATGTTCGCTATTGGTTTGACTGTGCTGGGTTGTGAGGGGTTAGTATGTGTCAGCACAGCTCGTATCTCAGTTGGACGAGCGCAAACCTCGCGTCATAGTACACCTGTCAAATCTCTGCTTGAAGCTGCTGACAGATGGATCAATAGCAATCTCATTAGACAGGGTGTTCCAGTGGTCGAAAACCTGCGGAAAGTAAAAGTGTGAACGCACACTGGTTTTCACCCTTTGGCGGGAGATTCTCCTCGGGCTACCATGCGAATTTCCACAGTGGCCATTCGGTAAGATTCCAACGCTCGAATGACTTGAATTACTCAGTACGTTGTAGGCTGTCATCAATTCCTCACATAACTCGCGACAGCTAAGACAGTGAAACCCTCTATCTTTCGGTATATCCTGGTGGGGTTTTTAACCCAGTCCAATAAAAAATTGTTGCCCGCCTGTGGACTTTCCCCGGGGGTTCACATCCTTCTTAAGACATGGTGGTGCAGTTACGTTATGGACCTCCAAGTGGGGTCGTATATCGACCTTGTGCAATCCCAAGACAGGTTTCACAGCGAGTGCAGCGAGTTGCCTGCGCATGAAGTGCATTACTCTGCAGGGTCTGGGGGCGACTCCTGGGTGACCGGACCCAGGGAAGGGTACTCTTTGAGAGTCAAGGATGTGGAGACACACGGTTCGGTGCTCATCCAGAATAAGTGTTAGGCCGTTATGGTTCATCAGCAAAGGATTAAAACTTGGGCAATGTGGTCGGTTGTAATTTTGGTCTGTTTATTAGAAGCACCACACAGTGACTGACACGTTTTACTGTGTAAACTTTCCAGGAAGCAGGTCAAAACGGAATTACGTTGCTATTTACTGAATCTGCGAACAATCTGGCATCAATTTGCAGGGGTCCGGATGCTGCCTCGGATGTTACAGCTCTCCATAGACAAATATCTTCAGCATAAAGCAAAATCTAAGAATCCAGGCTCATTGTAGGTTGTTCGCGGAGAAAAGGAATAGCAGAGGACCAAGAATCCCTCCTTCTGGTACACCAGAGAATGACGTCGACTAGCTCGAGCATACCCCGTCGACTTTTGTGCAAAATTCTCTACCGTCTCGACACACCTGCAACCTGAAAAGTACTCTGTCGTTGATTCCCAGCCTTGTTGTTTCGCATAGTAGGATAGAGTGTGTGACTGTGACAAAGGCCTTGGCGAGATTCGTGAAAATCACAATAACAGAGGCTTGGAAGTCCCACCATGCAGTCCAAGTGCAGCCCGGCTACCAGAAGGTTAGAGTCGCGGGACCTACCCTTTTGAAATTGTGTCGAGGATCACTTTTCTTCCCTCTTGTCCAAGTACTCCTAGGCGTGGTCGTCTCCCGGGCTCTTCATTACCTTCGGCAGCAGTTAGAAGTCCCATGGGTCGATAGCATTTCGGGTTCTGCCAGCCTCCGCCTTTTAAGATGGGGGACAGAACAGCATGTTTCCACTCCCGTAGAAGCATGCATTTGCCTATGGAGTGCTGAAACAGGTTAAAGAGTGGACCGCATAAGGCACTTACAGATTTTCTAAACACAGACGGTTGAATGTCGTTTCGCCTCGACAACTTTTCTGCGCGGAGTTTTGGCAGTGTTTCGGGGGGCAGAGAAGGGAATGCTTGCCCCAGCAGTTGATAAACTGGCTGGATGACGGCATGTTTAGATTCGTGTCGAAGGTGGAGCCAGGGGTTTCGCCGTTCCCAGGTCCAGAGTGGTTCTCTCTATTTAGGTCGTCTAAAATGCAAGCTCTCCGACTGGCGGATCTTCCCTTTGCCACGAATCAGGATAGATCTTTGGAGTTTGCTTCGGGCTTCGGTGTTGTACCGATTCCTTACTGGCATATATGCACTACGATGTGACTCTTTTTTGGGGACCCTTCAGTTATGCCATGCTTCCTGCTTAGCTCTAAAGAGGCATTCACTGTCTCACTTTGGCCACAAGGTTCGCCTCTTCTGCATTGTTGTGACTGCGGGGGCATGTTCAGAGGTAGCCCTTTTGGCGGAATCCCTAACTATATCCCAGTGTCGATAAGTCAACAGGGTACACAACTCCTGGATCCATGGTACTGTCGGCAGATAGCGGATCATCACCAAGTAAACTGCCCTACCGTAGCAAAGGCAAGGGCAAGATCTCTCCCATAATCGTTGTTCACTGAGCACCAGACCGAACTTTACTGTACTGTGCTCGCCGCTACTGGGGGAGTTTGAACCTGGACGTTTTCTGCTAGCGGATGGTCGCCGGTGAGAAAATAGCCCGGTGCGGATGATTTTCCACACGACTCCCACCAATGTCATCGCCAATATTCTCATGCAACCCAGCCTTCCTGATAGAGCTGAGTAGGTTTTAGCTAAACCTCTGGCTTGAAGTTTCCCTGTCCTCGCTAAGACTGAGAGTTGGAACACTTAAATTCCCCAGTGCAATGACCTAGTCACATTCCTCCGACATCATCCCAGGAACCACTTGGAGCAGTTGTCGACTCTGCTTCGCGTCGATAGTAGGGGTCCCATGGACCCTCACCAGTCACTATGTCCAATCTTAAAGTGGTACCAGATGCAGTTTGAGATCCCTAGCGGTAGACTTTCGATGGATCGCTCTCTTCGGAGACGGTCAATCATAAACGCTGCCAGTCGGCCCCCTTGTGTTTCCTGTCTCCCCTGAACAGACGCATACAGTCTATGTTAGCTTCGATGTCGCTAGCATCTGGCAGTAACCAGGGTTCCGTGAGGATCACAATCTTCGGGGTAAGGCAGGAACAAAGAGATAGCAGTTCCAACATCTTACCTCCAAGTCCCTTTAAAGCGCTGTAAAGACACTTGAATTTGACCCTAACAACGGGAGCGTTCTGGTGTTGGTGGACTGTAGAGGGCCACGCCAAATGATGAAATTTGCCGCCGGCCGGCCAGTTCTTATGGCCTGTCTGGCCCAAATCTAATGCTGGATGACCGGTGCATGTGTGACAGCGACAGGAATCTTTTAGCCCTCTTGGCCGGATTCAAAGTCACCCCGATCGGCACGGTCTTTCCGAGGGATGAATGGTTGCCATTGCAGGACCGGTACAACTCTCTCCTCGGGCTACCTGGTATTAGTGCAGAGCATGCCGTTTCCCACTGCTACTTGTCAAACAGTCCCCGTTTCTAGAGGAGACTGTCTTAACACACGTGAACGTCAAATAAGATGATTGACAAACTCGCTATCGTGTACTGTAGGGGATCTCTATGGAAGAGATACACCTTCATTTCCACGGTGACTTATTCTTCTCGATGCACGGCAGATGTCGTCGTCACAGCGACTTTAGGTATGGGGTTGGTGTGTTCAGTCTTATGACTGGTCACTATATGGCCACTTCTGGACCTCAGGGGTGTGACTGTTCCCAGAACAATACTGAAACTCTTGCCTTTGGACTGCCGCTTGTGGTAGCGGTTTGTATGGTGGTTGGTGTTTGACTAGCCGCCGGGGTTCCTCTTACGATCTCCTTAAGTGAGCCTGCAGAGGGGAGTAACCTTGCTCAGAGCTGCAGGCAAATATGCTGGAGAAGTATGCTTGGGTGCTGCACCACTAGAGTGTAATATTGGTCCGGTGCGTTCATATTACACTGACGGTGTACCCACCTTTTAAAAAGGCTACACTGAAAAGCCTCGCCCATTCAGGCCACGGTGG